CGCTGAGCAGTGTTTTTATCACGATTTACTGTGTATAAAATGAATCCTTCCTATACATATAAGTATGCTATCATTTATAAAGATATAAATAGTTCAATTGTAAAATAATAGATTTAATTGAAATAATTTGTAATTCTTGCGACTGTTACGAAGGACCTCGGTCTTCCTCGCTCTCTGAGAAAGGTTGTTCATCCATATCTAAAGCCGACATCGGCTGCTCCAGTACCGTTTCTTCAGGTGGCACTATTCCTTGTAGATACCTAGCTTGTTCCTCTATATCAGGAATTTTTTCGTAAATCAATTTTTCTACATCCACTTTAGTCAATTCAGCTTGTATTCGCCTTTTGAGTGGTCCCTCTATCGCATCCATTATCTGATACCTATAAAAAGAATCATTGTCGTTATAATACCGTGATCGATACATGGTTCACCGATCACGGAATTAAATCATTGAGATCGAACCTTAAAAGGTTTGGCAGTATATTCACGCTGGCCTCCATAAGGTAATCGATGGTACCGGCGCCGTGAACTCTTGTTTGAATATTACCCAACTCAAGATCTAGTTCTTCGACACTTGGCTTTTTTCGAGTGTCTAAGGGTTGACTCAGTTTTATTTGGACCCTGAGGTACTGTACGGTGAAAGAAACCGTTCCGGCTCTAGATAAAAAGCCACCGATTACGCTTATTTCCCAGTGCGTCCTTCCTTCGATCTCTTGAGTGCCGATGTCAATTGTTGCGTACACCTGTAGGAGGAAACAAGCGGAAAACATTGAGATGCATCGACACCCACGAATAAGTTACGTAACGTGCACAATTGCGAATCGTCATTAAAGGAGACTGATCAGTGTGTTTCGCTGTTTTTAAAATGTATACGACGTAATAGTTAATACAATTACAGTAATGCGGCACCACGCGCGATACGTTGCAATTGTATCAGCGTTGGTACCACGTGTCGTATCGTGAATGAACGATGCGATTGTAATGAAAATTGTCATTCGTTAAAACATGAAACATTGCACAATTTTTTAGGCTTCAATAAAAACTAAAATTGTATTAAAATTAAATAATTACTGTTCTATTTTCCATGCTTAACGTAATGTTCCCCATCCGGTAAAAGCTTGCCAGGCCGGTGATCCAAGTATGTGTTGACGTCACGGTGAACATACCGGCGGACTGGCTATAATCCTTCACCTTGAACGGATCGTATCCCATTTGAGACACTTGCCTGCGAGCTTCGGCGACAGCCATGTCGAAGGGCGATATAGAATTAGGGAAGTACTGCGGCAATTGTGAGATTTGTTTGTTTACCTCGCCCCTAAAATGCCAGACAAATTTTTGTTCATCTAATCTTAATAACGAGTCACGTTAAAGCATTTGACTTTTACCGAATGTTAGTGTTCACTTCCTTCAATATGAGAGGTTTAATACTGTCAAAAATAAAAGTGCCTACAGAATTGATCACTCCCTGGAGCACAGAAGCCAGGAAGCCAAGATTCTTGAAATCCATGTCTATTTTTTGAAACGTTAAATCCATATCGATGTTCTGCGCTTGCAACTTGCCATCGCTGGCGACTTCGAGTCTAGCTATACCCTGTACATTTACCCCTGTCAATTTCACGGTAAAATTACCGGCTGATCGTGACAGCCAAGAGGAAAGAGTGTACAATCCACGAATGTCCAAGGTTTCGATGCTTAACGCTACTGCGACCTTTGACAAAGAAATTAAACCGAAGATCAACTCTGATTCTTCTTTTAAACTAGCTGTAGGGCAGTTGCAATCATATACGTTTCTGTTTACTTTGGTAGGTGATTTTCATTAAGGATTCTAAAGGCAATTCAATCAAATAACGTTTCTATCTTAGTCATCAACGCGATACGTTCCGCGTTACGATCGTATAATTAGCATCTGTTCTTTATTTGTAGATGCATAGAAGCAATGCATATCTTCTTAGTTGATACGTGGATCTTTAAATAGTTAAGCTTATAAATCAGGATCATTGTTTAAGAGACTCGAAAAAATTACAAGCGGCATTATTAGTAAAAGACATTTTGATAAAAAAAAATAGTATTTTCGCTCTGTATTTTTAAAACTTCCGATCACATGTTGCATAGCAAGTTCATGATTCTCTTTATTGGAGATAACAGATTCAGAAAGCAAATCTTACTTGCATCAGCGCTAATTCCGATTCCACATGTACTATCCGAAACTTAGATAGACCATACACATTCACGTGTTTGAAATTCATGGTGTACATAGAAAATGAATGCTTCATATCCGGTACTGGCATCGGATCCGGTATCGGTGCCCCAGGTAGCCCTATCGGATCATCTTGCTGATAGTGCTTTAAAATCGCGCGAATATGATCCCCGAGTCGTTTCTCGCCAGCAGCTATTTCTGCTGCGGTATCGTTTTCTCCTGGGAGAATTAATCATTTGAACATCGAGTAAAAAAGTATATTTATCNCGCTGAGCAGTGTTTTTATCACGATTTACTGTGTATAAAATGAATCCTTCCTATACATATAAGTATGCTATCATTTATAAAGATATAAATAGTTCAATTGTAAAATAATAGATTTAATTGAAATAATTTGTAATTCTTGCGACTGTTACGAAGGACCTCGGTCTTCCTCGCTCTCTGAGAAAGGTTGTTCATCCATATCTAAAGCCGACATCGGCTGCTCCAGTACCGTTTCTTCAGGTGGCACTATTCCTTGTAGATACCTAGCTTGTTCCTCTATATCAGGAATTTTTTCGTAAATCAATTTTTCTACATCCACTTTAGTCAATTCAGCTTGTATTCGCCTTTTGAGTGGTCCCTCTATCGCATCCATTATCTGATACCTATAAAAAGAATCATTGTCGTTATAATACCGTGATCGATACATGGTTCACCGATCACGGAATTAAATCATTGAGATCGAACCTTAAAAGGTTTGGCAGTATATTCACGCTGGCCTCCATAAGGTAATCGATGGTACCGGCGCCGTGAACTCTTGTTTGAATATTACCCAACTCAAGATCTAGTTCTTCGACACTTGGCTTTTTTCGAGTGTCTAAGGGTTGACTCAGTTTTATTTGGACCCTGAGGTACTGTACGGTGAAAGAAACCGTTCCGGCTCTAGATAAAAAGCCACCGATTACGCTTATTTCCCAGTGCGTCCTTCCTTCGATCTCTTGAGTGCCGATGTCAATTGTTGCGTACACCTGTAGGAGGAAACAAGCGGAAAACATTGAGATGCATCGACACCCACGAATAAGTTACGTAACGTGCACAATTGCGAATCGTCATTAAAGGAGACTGATCAGTGTGTTTCGCTGTTTTTAAAATGTATACGACGTAATAGTTAATACAATTACAGTAATGCGGCACCACGCGCGATACGTTGCAATTGTATCAGCGTTGGTACCACGTGTCGTATCGTGAATGAACGATGCGATTGTAATGAAAATTGTCATTCGTTAAAACATGAAACATTGCACAATTTTTTAGGCTTCAATAAAAACTAAAATTGTATTAAAATTAAATAATTACTGTTCTATTTTCCATGCTTAACGTAATGTTCCCCATCCGGTAAAAGCTTGCCAGGCCGGTGATCCAAGTATGTGTTGACGTCACGGTGAACATACCGGCGGACTGGCTATAATCCTTCACCTTGAACGGATCGTATCCCATTTGAGACACTTGCCTGCGAGCTTCGGCGACAGCCATGTCGAAGGGCGATATAGAATTAGGGAAGTACTGCGGCAATTGTGAGATTTGTTTGTTTACCTCGCCCCTAAAATGCCAGACAAATTTTTGTTCATCTAATCTTAATAACGAGTCACGTTAAAGCATTTGACTTTTACCGAATGTTAGTGTTCACTTCCTTCAATATGAGAGGTTTAATACTGTCAAAAATAAAAGTGCCTACAGAATTGATCACTCCCTGGAGCACAGAAGCCAGGAAGCCAAGATTCTTGAAATCCATGTCTATTTTTTGAAACGTTAAATCCATATCGATGTTCTGCGCTTGCAACTTGCCATCGCTGGCGACTTCGAGTCTAGCTATACCCTGTACATTTACCCCTGTCAATTTCACGGTAAAATTACCGGCTGATCGTGACAGCCAAGAGGAAAGAGTGTACAATCCACGAATGTCCAAGGTTTCGATGCTTAACGCTACTGCGACCTTTGACAAAGAAATTAAACCGAAGATCAACTCTGATTCTTCTTTTAAACTAGCTGTAGGGCAGTTGCAATCATATACGTTTCTGTTTACTTTGGTAGGTGATTTTCATTAAGGATTCTAAAGGCAATTCAATCAAATAACGTTTCTATCTTAGTCATCAACGCGATACGTTCCGCGTTACGATCGTATAATTAGCATCTGTTCTTTATTTGTAGATGCATAGAAGCAATGCATATCTTCTTAGTTGATACGTGGATCTTTAAATAGTTAAGCTTATAAATCAGGATCATTGTTTAAGAGACTCGAAAAAATTACAAGCGGCATTATTAGTAAAAGACATTTTGATAAAAAAAAATAGTATTTTCGCTCTGTATTTTTAAAACTTCCGATCACATGTTGCATAGCAAGTTCATGATTCTCTTTATTGGAGATAACAGATTCAGAAAGCAAATCTTACTTGCATCAGCGCTAATTCCGATTCCACATGTACTATCCGAAACTTAGATAGACCATACACATTCACGTGTTTGAAATTCATGGTGTACATAGAAAATGAATGCTTCATATCCGGTACTGGCATCGGATCCGGTATCGGTGCCCCAGGTAGCCCTATCGGATCATCTTGCTGATAGTGCTTTAAAATCGCGCGAATATGATCCCCGAGTCGTTTCTCGCCAGCAGCTATTTCTGCTGCGGTATCGTTTTCTCCTGGGAGAATTAATCATTTGAACATCGAGTAAAAAAGTATATTTATCAAAATTACTTTTTATTACGGCGTTACAAGATTTGCGAGAGTCAACTCTATCAACTTTAAGCATCAATAAAAATTTATATGTGTACGCATTTCCTCGCTGATGACAAATCGATCTTTGATCTTAAGTTTACAACGTGCAGTGATAAAAAATCATGCGGTTTCATTTATATTACAGTAGCAAAATGATTTGTAGAACTCACCGCCAGATTTGGAGGCATCGCATCGTCCGATCGCGAGAAAACAAAAAAGGACAAGTAGTAATTTCGAGGAGTGCATTTCCGGTCTTGACATACTCAGCGTTGCGAGAAATAGTGGCGAGAACGACCCGTAGTTGATCGGGCCACGCATTCGACTGGGGAGGTGCGTCAGTGAATTTAGTGGAACGATATCTCTCGGGTCATTGAAGGAGCGAGGGTCAACCGCTTTATCTGATCCCCCTTGTCCCCTCCTTTATTCTTGCGTTGTTTCCTCCTCAGCTTCCCTTTAATTTTACCCCACTTCGCTAACATTTACTCACATGGCCGCACAATGCATACACTTTGTTCATGAATAAGTGCTGCAAATATTTATAAACAAAATGGTCATATATCTGCAGAATGTTAACATGGAAGTTATGTATAAAAAAGTTTAATTTGAAAAGAGAAAATAAAATTTCAAAAATTTACTAAAGACACATTGCTTGTCGATGTCGAGAAATTTTATTTTTCAATTAATATGTAAAATCTTTAATGAACTCATCCGATATTTTGTTTTTATCCATGGATATCATTTCAATTTATTTATATGAAAGAAAAGTATCAATAATTAATCTTTAACTTTTTCAACAAAACGTATACGTATTTGGATAATACTGGCATAATGTTTTTAGAAATAAAGCAAATTACAATTACCATCTAATATAAAATTAAACATGATGAATTACTGAAAATCAACGATAAGTAATACCGCCTAAGATTGAATCGTAATGTCATGATTATTTTATTTTGAACATTTGTAATTCATTGTATACCTATGTTATACATATTATTTAATTCTATTTATCTTTTTTTTTGTTTAAAAAGTGTTTAACATATTATAATTACTTAATCTCTCAGATACTGAAGTTAGCAGCTAGAGATATTTTCCTTTCAGAAATTACCAATCAAATATTTACTTTATAACTCATTCTCCAATAGGATTCGTGATTAAAACGGTTCCGTTGGTACGAGCAATCAGTGTGGACAGTTTGAACATGTTTGAATTGTAGAACTCAACGTATCGTTCCATCATTGTGTGTATC